AAATTAACAGTTAAAAATTGATGTTGCCCTTACTTTTTATTTTTTTTAAAAAAAGGAAGAGTAAACTCTACTTCTGCTTGGATATATGTCTACGAATGAGATATGAACTGAAAAGATTCTTTAATTTGTGTTAATCCACAGTTACTGAAGAAATGAAGAAAAAATTTCTACACGGAAAGAGAATCGTATCTGAACGTTTTAAGATTTTGAGAAGGACGATCAGACAAATAAGGGACGGAAAGAAGAACTCTGAATTGCAATCTTTTGACTTTGAAACATTAGTTTCTGCTACAAATAATTTCTCAGACCACTGTAAGCTTGGAGAAGGTGGTTTTGGACCTGTTTACAAGGTATTTTCTTTCCTCTCTTATTATGAAGGATGACGATATTATATTTTTATGTTAAAAGATCTAAAAAATTACTATCTCATAGACTTGGATTCTAGCAAAGACAGAATATTGATATGAAATAAAACGAAATTATATTCTAATGATATGGACTCAAAATCTTGAATTCGGAGTATGGACGAAGTTTTTTTTTTTGGTCAGTCTTAGAAAGGAAAAAAGAGTGGAGTGTTGTTATGGGAAAATGTAAAATAATACACCTACCAACTCCAAACAGAACAGAACGTTCCTTCTGCAATTCAAGACCGATATATGCTTCAATCCTCGTAGCAGCCAAGGTTGAGTTCGGTCCACGACGTTCTCTGATTTATTCGGAAAAGAAGTGAGAGTTGAGAAGCTTAGGTTCCGTTTAGTAACGTTTTCATTTCTATTTCTTATTTTTTAGTAAACAAAATAGAATTAATGGCTCTCAACACCTATAGATTAAAAAATGACGAAACAAGATCTTTATTTACGTAGGAACAAATTGGAAATAGGAACAAGAAACAAGAAACTTGTTTTCGTTAGTTTCCAAAATTTCTATACAATTTTAAGAATGTTTTTAAAAAAATGAGGAACAAGAAACATGAGTAGTTGTCAAATTATTAGATTTCTTAAAAAAAATTGGAAACGAGAAACAAAAAACGGGAATGTTCCAAACCGGCCCTTGCTTGTCTTATAGGTTAGGTGTTTTTTATTTGTTTTTGGTTTTATTACTCGTTGCTCAGTCTGGTTGGTACTTGTAAAAAGAATTACTCTTTTAAAAATATATTTTCGATTGCATTATTTGCACTTGCAGGGAAGTTTGGGGGAGGGGCAAGAAGTAGCGATTAAAAGACTGTCAAAGAATTCAGGACAAGGATTGGTGGAGTTCAAGAATGAAACTATTTTGATTGCCAAATTACAACACACAAATCTGGTTAGGCTTATTGGTTGCTGCATTGATAAAGAAGAGAGGTTGTTGGTGTATGAGTACATGCCCAACAACAGCCTTGACTTCTTCCTCTTTGGTTAGTCATTTAAACTAACTTTTTAGCATAATACACATTTGTTTTAGTGTTGCATTTTATTTTCTTGCATCCATTTAGTTCATTCCTTTGTCTAATGAATGGTTATGGTTGGGTCATATAGACTCGAAGAAGAAGTCAATACTAGATTGGGATAAACGCTTACACATAATCCAAGGTATAGTCCAAGGACTACTCTACCTTCACAACTATTCAAGAGTACGAATAATTCATCGAGATCTAAAAGTTAGCAACATCTTACTCGATGACGAGATGAATGCAAAAATATCGGATTTTGGTATGGCTAGGGCCTTCAAGCCATCAGAGGGTGAAGCAAACACGAGCCGAGTTGTTGGTACATAGTAAGTGAATCCTATCCATATTTCTTCAATTGGTGCTATTTTTATTTAAAATGTTTCGAGTCTATTCACGTGTTGGATATGAGTATTTAATTTTATTCACAAGACTTAGCACTGGGGTAATAACATGAAATAGATAAGAAATAACGACATTGAAGACTTAAGCCACCCTACTTTGATACCATATTAAATCATCGCGGAATCCAAAATCTTAATTAAGTAGCTATGATAATTTTTTATATGCTATTACCTTGCAGTGGCTATATATCACCAGAATATGCAATGGAGGGTATCTTCTCGATAAAGTCAGATGTTTACAGTTTTGGAATACTATTGATGGAGATTATAACAGGTCGAAAGAACTACAATAATTACGATACTGAAAGACCTCTAAATCTCATAGGATATGTAAGTATATGTGGTTGGTTGTTTTTCTTTAATCCCATTAAATAATGCACGAGGAATATGGAAAATGATTAAGATGGTGAGCAAATTATTATTTTCAGGCATGGGAATCATGGGTGAATGGCAGAGGAGAAAAGCTGATTGATTCGGCTTTGTGCAGCTCTAATTATCAGAAATCAAAAGCTTAAGGTGCATCCATGTTAGTCTTTTATGTGTTCAACAAATGCCGGCAGACAGACCCACCATGTTTGATGTTTGTTTCATGATTCACAACGATTCTGCTCAACTTTTATCGCCCAAACAACCTGCAGTTTTCGTTGCTCAAATTCCTCAGTCGCCGGAGTTGGAGGCGCTCAACGGTGGGCTTAGATCGGAATCGGAACTCGAAATATGTTCTCCGAATACCATGTCGCTCTCGGTGATGGTTGCCAGGTGACCCTAGTCCTTATTTAGTCCTTATCGTGTACTGACCCTAGATTAGTATGTAAAGAGATTGAATATTATGCGACCATCAGGCTCGTGGGAGGCTGCAGTGGCAAGAACATGGAACGTATGGTATCATCTAGATAATTTTCGTTTAGATTTAAAAATATATATTTAATATTTACAAATATTTATTTTACTTTTTTTTTATAAATTTAATGGAAAGTTTTAATTTATTAAGTTGGTTTGATTAAATGCTTATATTTCATCTGAAAATATTATATTACTATTAATACAACCTTTATAAAATTACAAGGACATAATAGTCAAATGATATACTTTTTTTTTCAATTCTCGTGAACATCTAAATAAGACATTTTAATTTTAATTATTTATAATTAAGTTGGTTTCAAACACAAGGAGAAATTCGAAATCATTTTCAATATTTAAAATCTTGGAATTTGAAATCATTTCTTATCAATTCCAGACGTCAAACTGAACATTAAGAAACTTGAAAATCGGTGAGACGAGGAGTATATTTTTTAAATTCTATACGATTAGGTTCGAATTGGTTTTGCTTTTTCACTTACGTCTGGAAATGGAAAATTAAATCGAAAATTATATGTTCGCTGTTGGCTGTTGTGTTGATTCTGCGAATTAATTTCTTTCCGATCTCTCGGTTATCTGTGAATAATTTCTAAATTTCTTTTTCTATCGTGAATGATCATCTTAATGAATTACGTATATCGAGGGGGCTGGCAACTGAAGGACCTCAAGAGGAACATTTTTGAATAGGTCGCCATAAAATTGATCGATGTAGATTTGTAAATTAGCTTTCCTTTGAATGTAGAGAAAAAGCTAATGCTAGATTGGGACAAACACGTGCTCATAATTCATCGAATAATTTACTCTACCTTCACAACTACTCAAGACTAAGCATAATGATGAAGAAAACACTAGTCGAGTAGTTGGTACAAAGTAAGTAAAGTATATTCTATCTATTTCAATCAGTGTTATTTCATCCATCATAGTGTAATAGTGATAAGTTGCAGTAAATTTATTAATTTTCTCATTACTCATATTATTTATTAAGAAGCTAACCTATATACATTGCAGTGGTTACATATTACTTGTATATGCAATAGGTGCCATACAACAATTATGATCATAGCGAGTCAAAAAAACTACAACAATTATGATCTGTAAGGGCCCTTCAATCTCATAGGATATGTAAGTTGCAATGGAGGAATGTTTTTATTATTTTTTTAATCTTTTAATGCAATTATAGAATGCGTGAGGAACGAAAATAATGTTGAAATGGAGAGTGAATTATTTCCAGGCATGAGAATTGTGGGTGAACAACAGAGGAGAAGAGCCGATTGATTCAACTTTAAGCAACTCCGACCGAAAGCTTTAAGGTGCACCAATGGTCAGTCTTCTGTGCGTCCAAACAAATAGCACCAGATAGACTCAAAAACTTTCAATGCCTAAACAACCTGCAATCGTCAGAGGCGATGGCGGGCTCACACCGGAATCGACGTGGGAAACTTGTTCCTTGAATAAGATGTCAGTCTCGGTGATGGCTGTGAGGTAAGGGCACCACAATGTTCTAAATTTTTTTAGTATAACAAATGTGGGTTTGAATCTCCTGTATGTCTTAACCATTAGTTATGCATTACGTCAAACAAACGTAAAAAGAGGCAATGTTGCAACTTGAAAAAATTATCCCGTGTACTCTTAAAAGATATTATTTCTTTCCCTCATGCTCTCATAATTTTATTTCTTTCCTTCCTGCTCTTCTTCAAATGTGAGCATTTCATCCAAAGGATCAAATTTACAGGATGAATTTGATTTCATTTTGTCAATATAATTAACGTTTTTCGATCTCGGGTCACACACGAAACTACCAATTATAATGATATGATACTTTGTTTGTAGACTGTAGTCCCAAGTCACAGTGTTTTTCCAAGTGGGTGAGGTCTTGAATTGGTCAGTCGCCGGTGGGCCATGGCGGGACAATAAGTTTTACCCATCTGCAATTTTCAATTTCTAGTCACCAATGGGTTACAATCAGACACAAGTTTTCATTGGCCATTGTTGAATAATTGGTCATTTATATATATATATATGTGTGTGTGTGTGGCCATTGATTGTATCCGAAGATATTGGATAAGGTTGACCATCCAATTCAAACCCGACGGTTGCTATATATGGCCAACCTGAAATTTTCGGTGAACACCCCTACGTTGAATTGTCCAATCTCATGATCTGTAATTTCCAAGTTGGTTCTGAGTCAAGAGTCCATGACCACGTATGTTAATATCTAAAGTCAAACAAGACAAGAGCTTAAATCCTTGGATTTCCTTTCCCTAAGTTTGCAAAGAAAAGCTGATAAAAGCAAACGCATAGGACTCTGTTCGGTAATGGCGAGTGGGAGTACTGAAACTGCAGGAAAGCTTATGCTGAAATGGCTTATAGTGCTTTTTGTGGTTGCAGAGTTGTGCGATGGGCAGTCGGGGCAGGCCAACAACGTATTGGCACAAGGCCAAAAGCTAAGTTGGTCTCAGTTAATTTCGGAGAACACCATGTTTGTGCTCGGGCTCTACAGTCCTAAGTATTCGAATCTCAGTTATATAGGCATCTCCTACAACACCGATTACCAAAACCCAGTATGGATTGCCAACGGAAACTCTCCATTCTCCGTAAATGATGCGTCAATCAGCCTCACGATCGACGCCAACGGCAGCCTGAAAATTGTGGGGAAAGCAAAAGATGAGGAGCATGTGGGGTATTCGTTTTCACTGTTTGATGTGGAAGAACCAACAAATAGCAGTGCCATTCTGCTGGACAATGGCAACTTTGTGCTGCGTGAACTGAACCCAGATGGTTCAGTAAAGCGGGTGCTATGGCAGAGCTTTGATCATCCAACAGACACTCTGCTTCCCGGTATGAAACTTGGGATCAATCGCAAAACTGGATCCACTTGGTCTTTAACATCCTGGAGAGGCAAGAATTGTCCTTCATCAGGAGCTTTCACCCTCACAATAAATTCCAACAATACAAACCAGTTATTGATATTGTTTCGGGGAGCCATGTTCTGGACCAGCGGGAACTGGCGTGGCAGTAGCTTCGACTTCTTAGACATCGATTTTAATCGATTTTCCAACGACAACGAAACGTATTTCATTTTCTTCACCTCCTACAAATTGAGATTAGAAGATGGTGGTATTTTGAATATGATCAGTCACGGTTCCTTGGGCTCTTGTACCCTCGAATACTACCGTTATTACAATCAGTATATTCCAGAAGGGTGTGTGTGGATAAAGCAACACGAAACTTTTCCCGCCGAGTGTAGGACTACGACTTATACTTCTTTTGATCCGGAGATAAATCATTACATTTCGGGGAATGGTAGCAAGTACAGAGAAAGTGAGAAGCTGACCATGTTTGAGTGCAAATATATTTGCATTTCTGATTGTGATTGCATCGCCTACAGTTATACCAACCAAGATGGCAGCGGCTGTGAGATTTGGAAGAAAGGAGCAGAGTTTGCTATTGTGCATGGAGATCCTCAACGCCTAAATTTGGTTCTCATCGACCGCTACTCTCCACCCAATCGCAAAGGTTAGTTTAATTATTATTTTCTTTTTTCTAACTTGATTCGATAGACATCTAGGATTTTTGATATTAAACTCGTCTCAAAATTGAAACTTTTAAGTTGGTGTCATCAAGACGCACCAAATCCTAATGCATCAAAAGAGGCAGGAGGCAGATGAGCTAAATAAGCACACTTTTAATTATTCCTAGCTTGACAAATCAGTACTTGATTTCCAACCGATTGAAAGTTTTACAGTTGAATATATGTTTTGGTACTTCTTTTTCAAATTTGTCCCTTGTATTTTAATATTTTACAATTATATCCTTTCTGCTGATGAAGGTTAAATTTGATTTAATTGAGTTAGTTAGCAAGAATTAGGCCACATAAAGTAGATTGAAGGAACCATTAGAAATTTTCTTCTCTGAGATGGTCTTATTTCTCTTACAAATTTCTATCGAATCACACGCGAAATATCATATTTTACAAACTTTAGTCAGTTCCAACATTTACCAATGAGAATGTATAACTGAAAATTGTAGAACACAAGGGACTAAATCAAAATTTTTTAAGAAGGAATTGAAAAGACACATGAATATTAGGAGTTAGAAACATATATTAAGAAGAAGAAAAGGGTCTGGTGCCTGTTTCTTATTTCTTGATGTCTCAGGTTTTAAATTTAAAAATAATTTATATATATATATTTTTTGAAGACTCCAGCGTATACTATGTTATATTATGGAGTAGTCCACTTATATTATAATTTATACTTAACTTGTTGGTTGGTGCTGGATTTGGTTGCGAGTTATGATTGGGGTAGTAACACCTGCCACAATTCTCCTACTGTGTTTAATTTTCTACATCAAACGGAAATCACAAATATTCAAAGGTAATAATCGATATCATTATTTATTCATTAAGTATATGATTATATCAGTTATTAACACTGATCTGCTAACATTAATTATTTTGTGTTAATCCACAGTAATTGTAAAAATGGAGAAATTTTTTTATCGCTGAATGGGGTTCATATTTGAAGGTTTTAGCATTCTGAGAATAATGATCAGACAAATAAGAGATGGAAAGAAGAACCCTGAATTGCAGTTTTTTGACTTTGAAACTATAGTTTCTGCCACAAGTAATTTCGCAGACGATTGTAAGCTAGGACAAGGTGGTTTTGGACCTGTTTATAAGGTAATTTTCTTTCCTTTATTTCCTTACTCTCTCCAACATGATCGACCACGCTTGCTATTTAATTAGCCAAATTTTTTAATATTTTTTAATTTAATTTAAAGCCAGTTGTTAATCTTAATTAGTCTCAATTTTAATGACGTAATTTTGTTGTGTAATTTGTACTTGGACCAAAATTTATCATGAAATGATATGGTAAAGGTATGGACTAAAAATCTTGTATTTTATATCATGTTGAAAAGTAAAATTATATTAATTAGATCTCAAAGGTTAAAACTAGTAAAAATGTTAATCTTTAATCTTTGATTGCATTTTCAGGGAAGTTTGGGGGATGGGCAAGAAGTAGCGATTAAAAGACTGTCAAAGAATTCAGGACAAGGATTGGTGGAGTTCAAGAATGAAACTTGTTTGGGGAAGAGAATACCCTGKACACGTGGAGGACCCCTATTGGTGCTCCAAGATGACTCATGAGTCATGCCCAGCTCGGACCGCCGAGATCACCACCACTAGCGTTGACAGATGTTAAGTATGAGGGCCGAGGTGAACCTGGCCGAGGTCCGATCTACCGGGAAGCTCGGTGGGGGCCGAGGTGAGTTACTATCAGCGGCGTGATTATCAGGTGTAACCGTCGGTCCTGAGATTACCGGGTGTAACCGACGGTCCCGAGATTACTGGGTGTAACCGTCGGGAGATTAGCGGGACTACCACCCATAAGTAGAGGGCCTCACTCCACGATCATGTACGATGATTTTCTGACCTCGAACTAAACTGGGAATCTGACCTATACTGACTTGATCGTCGGAGTGCTCACCTTTTTGTGCAGGTCCGCCCAAGTATTCAGATCGGTCCGGAGGCCGAGTTCGAGCTGCAATC